CACGGCATCATCACGGTCTTTTCGGAAAATAATGTAACTGCGTAGAAAGTTGGTGTGTTTAGATTTTAAGTGTGTTTCCTGTACACACAGCACTTTTGGTGAGTGAAGGTGTATAATTTCTTGGACATCGTCGAGGTTAGTTAGAAGGCCTCTGACATTCCATTGTAGAATCTGTGTTTCCATATTTGATGGAAAGTGGTGCTGTGTGTACGCAAATGAAGTGGCTGTTCAAGTGGGAAGTTGTAACTTAAGTAGCAGGGCCGTCGTCGGGCCCTGTTATTGGTTTCTTGGTTCTTTTGGCGCGCTCTATGGAGCCACGCCGCGCTTCCGGCGCCTGAGGTACCGTGTTTGTGTCCATTGCCTCACGTGAAGCACTAGACGCCCTCGTACGCGAGCTGCTGCTACGTAATTGCGACCTCGCCTGGTGAGACGTGGTTGGTCGACCCAACGACCCTGGAGTCGCCTGAGTCTCTGGCTTGGTAGGTGGAGCAGGCTTGGCTGTTCAACCATGGGGGCGGCCACCACACCCGATGGCTCACTCTGCGTGGGCCTAGGTAGTGGCGGGGGGTGATGCGACGCTGCCCCCTGACGCGCCGCATCAGCGTAAGTTGTGCCGTGAAAAGCCGAACACCTTCGGCGTGCTTCCTTGAAGGAGATATTTTCGCGAATCTTCAGTGTAATAATGTCTTTTTTCTTTTTTCCACTGAGGACAAGAACGTGAATATGATGCGTGGTCTCCGTCACAGTTTACACAATGTAGGGTTTCATTACAATTGTCAGAGATGTGGCCTTGGGCACCGAATTTGGCACAAGCAGGTCGACCACGACAGCTCTGAGAGCCATGGCCGAACCTTTGACACTGGTAACATCGGCGGGGGTTTGGTATGTAGGGTCTGATCGGTGTCTTTGTATAGCCAGTTTCTATTGTTTGTGGCAGTTCACTGGTGGCAAAGGTCAGTACCAAGTGTTTCGTGGGGGTTTCCTCATTGTTCCTTCGGATAGTGATTCGCTTCACGTTGGTCGCATTCTGTTCTTTCCAGCGCTCGAGGAGTTCCGCCTCCGTCAGGTCAAGGAGGTCTGTGTCAGAAACAACTCCACGTGCAGCATTCATGGATCGATGAGGTGTTACGCTGATGGGGATGTCACCGAATGTTGCAAGGTTCTTTAGTTTGTCAAATTGTGTTTTGTCCCGGAGTTCTAAAAGAAGGTCACCACTAGCCATTTTTGTAACTTTGTAGCCATCACCTAATGTGGCTGTCAGGGACCGCGATGCTATGAACGGGGACACAGTTCTGGCTGTTTTGTTGGGCTTCTCACTGTGTACATGATAACGAGGGAATACTTCTTTGGGTCGGCTGAAAAAGGAAAATTTTTCGGTGCGTACGCGCTTTGAAGCGGCACGATCATTGAGGAGTGGAAAACTTCTCTGCATGATAGAGAAATGTAATTCAGTAACAATGGCGGCCACCCACCACGGAGCCCAACGAGGGGACGCTACAAGGTTCATGAAACGAGAAACATGCAGACGCCAGCCGTTCACCGCTACGATAACCTAATGCGCGTAGGCCAAGGTTGGCTAGTTGCACAAGGTTAACCCAAGCCGCTCATGAAAATGGGAAAGTAACAGAAGAAATTAGAGGACAGGATAGATTTAAAGAGGAGAAAAGACGAAGATGTGGGGGAGAGAGAGATAGAAAAAGGCGACTGCCGATTTCCCCTGGGTGGGTCAGCCCAGGGGTGCCGTCTACGTGAAGCCGGGGCCAAAGGGGTGTGTTACCTCTGCCGGGGGGCCTTAAAGGTTTAATCACCCAGCGTCGGCTCAACCCCCAGGATCCCCTTTTCCCCGGACACGGCAAAGCCACGCACGGCTAGGCGTGGGAGGGAGTAGAAACTCCCCCGTTAGCTCGGGTCCGTGGTGTCGCTACACACCAAACGCCTACTTGCGCAGGCGCCCCTGCGGGGCGAGAAATGACTGCCCTCATCTCACGGCCTTGACTTTTATCCTTTGGATGCCATGACCTACGCAAATCTCTACACACATCCCTGGTATCAACTAGAAAATTGTTGTGCTTCATGCTGTTATTTTCCTAATAACCCTTGCAACTATTGCCGTGAAGTACTGCAGCTCGGCTCACATTTTTACCCACGGGTCACGCCCTGAACAAAGTTCATCGTTTAGAATATACGTATCTTCAACTGACCGCGGTGTTTATCTTACCGTCTTGAACGACCAACAACAAGCACGTGGGCTAAAATTTACGTTATCCAAAAAGCCATTCGCTATATACAGCGGCAGGCTCCTCGACTATGAATCACTTTAACGTATTCAAAAGCAGCCCTACCACACAAGTATACAAATTATCTCCACCCGATGAAAACATCCGGTTGCTTGACAGATTGGTTACATCCACAACACCAAAACTACTACTGGTCACACTGTCATACCTCAGTAGATTACGGGACACTACGGCGAATAGGAAATGAAAAAGCGCACCTAGCTGTACGTAGAGGCATGTATAAAAGCGAAATTCGGCAAACATAAATCAGATGTGTTAACAATGGCAAAGAAGTACACCCACCGAGAAAAGATCCAATTATGGTAACTTTCGCCTCGAGACCTTTTTCTCCGCTCCATAGACTCTGCCTTGATTTGAAGATCAAGATGTTTGCAAAACCTTCCTCATCACCTCGAGACACTGTATCACTGACTTCGCCGCAACGCAGCTACGTCTGCCGCCTTGGTTGGACCATTGATCAAGACTGTCACAAATGTGATTCTTTATAACCAGACGAACCTGTTTTGTTAGCTTACCAGGCATGAACAGAAGTACGGTCTTGTTTCTAAAGTAGAATACCCTCACCTTCTCATGAACTGCTAGATTTTGTGGAAATACTTGGACCAGCTCTTCCTTTTCAGAAATGTCACATTTTAAGTTCTGTTCAGATTCCTGGGAGACATTAACCTAACAGATAATCTCTAACGCAACAGTTACGCCTACAAATGACTACGAAGCAACAGCAGTGAGCGAAGACCCAGAGCACGTACAAAGAGAGAGTACTAGGGAACGGTAAAGGCAATGGCGACTGCAAGAAGACTCCGAAGTGACGGAAGGCCTATGCCTACGACGGCGTGTGTGGTACAACTCGAACCTCCGTGCGCTGAGAACATAGAGACAACATAGCATCCGCTTAACTAAAGCTTGGCAATGACGCAACGTATAAAAACCTGCATCAAGGCCTGAAGCAAGCTTAGAGCAACTAGATTAGTCATCACCATCATCAAGATTCGTTGTTTCAAGCCTTGCGGGGCTTTGCGAAAGCTTCGGCGATTGTTTGTCCTTTTAATGGAGTACTGGCACAATTTTGAGGCACGGCGAAAGACACATTTCGTTTTCTTTGGTACGCAGTGTCAGCCCTCTGCTAATCCTGGAACCAGGCAACACATAATTACTACTTTATTTTGAATTTATTAATGTATTTGTCGCCCAGCATCTGGTAGCCAGCTCCACAGTAATGTACATCAATCGTGGTGAGTATACACTACCTAAATTGCAGAAGTCGCTGTCGGAGTAAGTGAACGGCAAGTTACTCTTCGTTGTTTACGTGCGCCTTGGGCCACTGACATCAGATCACAAAAGTGCTGCTATATAGGACGTCACGAGTTCTTATCTTCGGCTACGCCATACCCTTTACAGCTCTCTACGAAACGAACACCTAATTGTCACGGCCAACACAATCTCTCTTTTTTTTCTTTATTGGTACGGGCAATGATATTATGTTCAATTGGCTTACCAGGTATAATTACTTTTCTGGGGTTTCTTGGCAGCAGTTATTTATTCAAAGCAACAATAACAAAATATTGAAAATTCAAGTCAGTACTTCTTTAACGCGGTAAATGATGCACATGGGCGTTGAATAGTAGCGTGTACCTCCAGCACCAGAAGGGCTAATAGTAAACATGTTCGGTTATAACACTGTCCAATTTGGGAGGAGACTTCCTTGGCTCTCGAAATACAGCTTTTTAAGTCAATACCATGTGATCATTAAACAGAACTAATTGCAATAATTTTGCCAACATTTTTTTTTCACTCTCGTATGTACCAATTTAGCTTACCACCATATGAGGAAAAGCATGCCTTAAAAATATTGTTATGCCTTGATAAATTTCAGTGCAAACAGGTTCCACATTAAATATATATATATATATATATATATATATATATATATATATATATATATATATATATATATATATATATATATATATATATATATATATATATATATATATATATATATATATATACTAGAATGTATGGATGTGTATATGTGAGTAAACGTGTATGTGGCCCATATGTACCTCGTAAATTCGACGCGGAGGTGACCACCGCTGTAGCTCTGTTGGCAGGGCATCGAACTTGTTTTTTTAAGGTCACAGGTTTAGTCACTGCCAGCCGCACGTTATCTTTTGCGCCAAGTTTTTTTCTCATAATTACAATACAAATGCTACTTCTGACATCCCGTATACTTGGCATAATTGCCTGTTAGTTCTCATAGATATTGCGTCTAACTAAGGTCTTTTTATGAATTATTACAGGCTACGCAAGGAAACGTTTCGCCATCAAGTGTGCAGGTTGTTGATAGTACATTGTTTCATAACCAAAATACGGAATTCATTGAAAGCTTATGTGTATAGCTGACATAATCGAACACTCTACCCCCATGACTGCACGCGCCATTTAAGGCCTAGTTTTACGCGAGGTCACTTTAGACCTCACTGGGCATAGACAATGAAGATTGATTGCAGCCTATGTCCTCTTTTCAAATGCCTTCTCTTTATGATGGATAGTAAGGATCAACTTGACTTATTTAAAGTAAATCAACCGTTCCCTAAGTCAACGCTTCAGTTCAATGAAGTGCTTTGATCTCGAGCAATCTTACTAAAATGCCAAGAAAGCACTGTCTGGAGATATAACAAAAAAATAAAGATACTTCCTTACACCTTCCACGATGCTTCCAAAAGAATGTCTTTGTTCCTGCGCTTTTGCGCAGCAGGGCTGAAGCGCCATCAGCAGTAGAGGGAGGTCAGTGCGCCCACTAAACGTTAGCGGCTCTCGGGTTGGTGAAAAACGACGCAAAATCCTGAAGCACACGAGTCACAATCTTCCAACGTTCACCGCCACAGTGCATTATTGTCATCCCAGGCTGTACAAGTAGGAATGCACGAGCGCCGACTCATACGGGGCAGCCTGTCAACCTAGGCATACGTTGATCTCCGGTGTGAAATAGGTGCAGTCATGCGCTTCGACGCGGAACACACAATAGGACAATTTTGGGGGGAACGACAGCACGCGAGGTATATCCGGCAGACGGATGTGAGCGGTGATGAATATTGTGCACTGCGAAAGCGTTCCGCCACCGGTGAGTGCCGATTGCCGAAGCGTTGCAGTCGACCCTGGTGACAGCGGTAGACTCGGCAACTCTCGGTTTTCTGCGATGCGCTGGCCGACGTAATGAATTTGCGTCTTGAAAACTCGATGCAGCAAAGGAAAAAAAAAAAACTGGCGCCACCAATACTTTCTTCTTGGCTAACGTCCACCGCACTAGTAGTGGACCGAAAACGTAGTTCGCATCGCCGATTGAAACATGCGCCCGCACGAGTGCACACACACCGGCGCACGGTGGCACTTCGTGGTCGGAAGAGGGGCCACAATCAGACGTAATGGCTCTGACGTCAGAGGCACGTGGATTCGGATTGTAGGCATCATATAGGCGCGATAACGGTGCAGCGACGAGGCTGTAGCGAGGGCTGCGGAGCCTTCATCGTGATCCCCATTGCGGACGCAAACAGCTGTGGCGCGCTCGCAGTTGAACGTGACAAAAAAAAGAAAACGAAAAAGACAGCAGCGAGAGTCAAAGCTGCATGACAGCCTCCGTGGACGCACCTGTCGGTGGGTAGGCAGAGCGAACGGTGCGTCCAGAAAGCAGCGCACCTTCACTTTCCCCTCTACGGGGGGGGGGGGGGGTGGAGGATGGGCAGGAAGCGACGGGCGTAGCATTCTCGGCGTGTTTGAACAAAGGAAGGGTGCGTGTTTCCGCCACGGCTGCAGCAACGCACCACTTGTTTTGTTCGAGGCGCACCCATCGGTCGCTCAAGAAATCGGCAGTCTTTTTCATTGTTTTGTATCTTTTTTTCATCAGAGCTCGCGCGTATGCTGCTGCGACAAATAGCAATGCCCCGCGCACTCATAATACTGGCATGTTGCATGAGCACGCAAATAGTGAGAGAGCAGACGACGACGATAAGGGCAAGAAACAGGTGAAAAAGGCTGCCCGTAGGTACAGATACATTCACCTAAAGGAGTACTGATTATATACCCCAGGGCAGGGGAGGATATGCACAACATCGTGTAGGTTTGCTATATTCTTCAATATCAACGCTTATCTTATCACCCCCATTGACAACGCTGCCATATCAACTAACGTACTATTTGCCAGACGATTGTAATTACGCGCCAAGTTCAATGGGACCTAGTTGTGCAATTTTTTTCTCTATTTTTATGCTTCGCTTTGTTTATAGCTTTATCCATCACAACGCTGTATACTACAGACCCTGTCATGGCCCATTTATATGTCCTTTTATAAAGTATTCAACAATGTTACTCGCACAGTGCCTAACGATCAAGGGTAGATCAACAAATGAAAAAAAAACGATTTGAGAATTCACTTTGCTGAACAGTGCAATGTTTCTCTTTCTGTTCGCACATGAAAAATAACACGTTGATGAACTTTACAGGGGCACACCCACCATTAATCAGTCAGAGAGGAGGCAGGGCAACGTATCATTTCCATCTCCTCCTCCATTGCTAGCACCTCGTGTCGTAACGACAGCGTACAGGATGCGACGTTGCATGTGTTCTTCACATGTAGGCTAAGTTGCGATTAAGAATTCGTCGGTAGCATTGGGTGTATTAAATGCTGACATACAATTACCGGATGTGGTGATATTTTTTTCTTGTTATTCCGAAATGCCAAATGATTCGCAATGAATATCTCAAACTCCGTGTAGCTTTTACGATTTTTAAAGTACGCGTATGCCCCAAATTGTCATGTACTACAGCTTCGTAGTATAAAATAAAAATTTGTAAAAAGTTAAAAAGTTAATTAGGTTTTCAGTTAAAAAGTTAATTATTCATTTTTCGTTGCTTAGTCACAACAGCGCAAGGCTAACTGCGGCAAAGTACTTACGTCATTACATGGAGTTCGTGTGCGAAAACGACAGCAGCCTTACAGGTATATATTTTTTTTAAATCTATTGGTAGAAAAAACCTCGACGACTGGACGATGAAGTAGCTGACGGAATGAATAAAGGAGGTCTGGGGGAGTGGACGCGTCCTACCCCAGTGGAAAACAGCCTGCACTATTCTCATTCTCAAACCAGGCAAGAACCTCAATATAGACAACCTCGGGCCAATATCTCTGCCGTCTTGCGTTGGGAAGGTTGCGGAGCACGCCGTGAATCGACTCACCCGCCACCTTGAGGTAATCGTGGCATACGCGCACAATATGATTGGCTTTTGCGCCGGCCTCTCGCCGCAGTATTCCATGATTAAAGGGGCCCTGAAACACTTTTTCAACTAACCATGGAACTAATTCACTGGAAGAGCTTATTGCCTCCCGAATTCAACGCCGCAAGAATTTTAAGGGTCCGTCCAGTGTCAGTGGAGTTACAAAGGCTTGTCGCATGCTGCAATTGCATTCTCTCTTCTCTCGGCCCGACGAAAGCGCTAGAAGCTAAGTAGAGATAAAGCCCCTTTAAGCAAGGTGGGATAGCAGGGCCACAGAAAAACGTCACGCGTACCTCGTGACATTTAGCACTTTTTGTTTCTTCTTCTTCGAATGCGCGGCTTTTTTCAGTGTGGTCGCGCGCGCACTTGTGGACAAGTAGCGGCCTCCCACGACGATCTCTATAAAGAGCGAGCACGTCATATTACAATCAGCCTATGGATGATAGATGGGCTTGCTGTGTGTGATTTTGGGGTATACTCCATGATTTGTCGAGTGCAGAGAAAGCAATATTCAGCTGATTTTGATGACTTATTATGAATTCCAGGCCGCGTGCTGTGCTATAATAGTTGGCTCGCGTGTTGTTGGGAGCCTCTACTACCGATCGGCAGCGTTTTCTGACCATACTCATTAACTGTTGCAGGGCCCCTTTAGGCACCAGATCCTAGATCGCAGAACGAGAGACATGACAGCTATACTCGGGATTGACCTTGAAAAGGCCTTCGACAACATCTCGCACGAATATATACTCACCTCTATCGCAGGACTAGAGCTCGGGCCCAAGGTCTAGAACTTTATTAGAGCATTCTTGAGTCGAAGAATCGACCGTCTAAAGATTGAGAGTTGCACGTCGGATGAAGTTGTCCTCGAATTCATTGAGGGATCAGTGATATCGCCCACTGTATTTAACATTGCAATAATCAGTCTGACCAAGAGACTGTCTCAAGTCGAAGGAATCAAGCATGCTATTTATGCGGACGATATTACAATTCGGTGCACCGGACGCAGTGAAGGCCGAGTCGGTAATGCGACAGGTCATCGACGTTACGGAGCAGTTCCTGCTTCCAACGGACCTGGGGTGCTTCCTGGGCATGTCCGAACTCTTCCTGTACTAGAAAAGGCCACGGGGAAGTGACTATTGGGATTGGCAGCTTGCTTGTTAAAGTGGAATTCAACCCCACACTGGTGACGACTCTCCAGTTCTCAAGGTCGACTCTATCCACGTACTCAGCATGGCCATCAAATCAAACAGCGCTAATGGCATGGCGCTAAAAAAGATTGTTTCGAAAAGTGCCAATACACTAAGGCTGATTCGAAGAATCGCCAAGAGGCACTGAGGACTCAAAAAAGACATCTTAAACCGACTGAATCACGCCTTTGTCCTATGTAATTTCACGTACACCGTGGCCGTACGCAACTGGCACCAGGCCATACGAGAGAAGCTCAACGCACCTATAAGCAAGGTCATCAAGGGGGCGCTTTATTTCTCAATTCGGACACACACCAAGGTCCTCCTGAAGTTGGGAATACACAACACCATGGAAAAGATCACCGAGGCTAAAATAAGAGCCCAACTGGTAAGGCTCTCCAGTACACCAGCCAGCAGAAGATTACTCCAAGAGATTGGGCTCGACCTCGTAACTCACAATCCGAAATACACCCAGATCTCCTCGGAAGTTTGAAACAATATTCACTCGTCTCAGCAGTGAAGAAGGAAGGTCGTCTCTGCGCTCAGCGCTCCGTCTCCCTTGCCACTCGCGCCCTGTTCCACCGCGTGTTGCCGCGCTTGCGGCGCGCAATACATCGTCAAGGGCATGCTCAGCAGTTGCTAGAGTTAAGACTTTCGAAACCTAATGAAACGGTGGCAATATTTGCAGAGGACTTGACATCGTTTTGTCGTCGACATGATCCCAATTTGCCCGAGGAACAGAAGTTGAGCTACCTTATGCGCGGAGGACGAGAAAACAGTGATCGCTTACGCAAGCAGAGCTCTGTCACGCGCAGAAGCAAATTATTCAAAAACTGAAAAAAAATGCCTCACTGTGATATGGGCAGTTAATCAATTTTGCCAATACTTTTACGGTCGCCAGTTCAAAGTTATCAGTGACAACCGTTCGCTGTGGTGATTAACAAGTATCAAAGATCCTTCCGGGTGATTAGCATGATGGAGCCATACGCTACAATAGTTTGATATAGCGATGATGTCCAAGTCGGGAAAACGGCACCCGGACGCCGACTGCCTGTCTCGATCACCGATAGAGTCGGCTGCTTTTCTTGATGAAGAGACAGCATTCTTGGCAATCCTCGACACGTCAACCACCTCAGACCAACAGCATGACGATCCTGAGCTACTTGGCTTGATTATTTATTTAGAAGAACGAAGACAGAACGTGCCCAAAGCCTTTGCAAGAAGTCGATTGTCGTTCTTTCTGCGAAGCAATGTTCTCTACATAATTAACTGCTCGTCAGACGGGTACCTGCGTCGTTCCTTTTACTCTTCGTTGTGAGGTGCTGCAAGCGTGCTAGAACGAGGTCACTTCTGGACATATAGGCTCCACGATCACACTGAGTAGAGTTCGGGAGAGGTATAGGGAACCGAAGCTCAAGTTGGTAGAGCGATGACAATGCCACGCCTGGCCCTGGCGACAAGCTCCGGAAAACTTGAGGTGAGACGCTGGAGAGGCAGCAGGCGAGTCAGTGTGTTTCGCCGATCACGCGCTCCCGTGTCTGAAGTCGGCGCGGGGAACTTGGGCGCCATGCCGTCAGCTTGGCGCACTAAAACGAGACGTTCGCTGTGCAAAGTTGCCTTCTCGGGATGGAAGAAGTGGCCCCACGGAAGCGTCGGCGAGGTCCCAATTATTGTTGCGTTCTGCCACAACAATGCTGACCACACAAAGGGGCGCTCTCCACGTGTAAAGCTGAATCAGTTTCCCAGCAAGCCAAAGCCGGCGAACACAGCCGTGTTCGCGAAATATAGAGCAAGCATAACACGAGAGCAAAAAAAAAAGAGGCGAGCCCTTTTACTTGACTCGCTGTGGTTAAACTTCAGCTTGCTGATTCGCAGCGACGTCAGCGGGTCATGTGTCCATGGTATGGAGGACACGACTCTAAAACTTCTCGGACATTTTAATTCCAGGACTTTTTAACTTCAGTTTTTATTTAATTCTTTAGCACGCCGCAAACCTTTGCACAAGACAGTACACTGCTGCTGCTACTGGTATATACAATATCAGAACAACAATTATACGGTTTTCATAAACGTCAACGCAACACATCAATAGAGAACGCGGCTTCGTG